AGAGCTGTTTGTTCTCCTGGAAGGAGGAGTGGTCCTTACAACGGCTGCATGATGGCCTTATCTGCATTTTCTGGCCTTTACAGCCCAAGCAGACATAATGCTGACACTCTGGATGTGTCTGAGAAATCGGATCCTGAAGCAGTTTACCTGAGAAAAAATGAGAAAAAAATCCACCTGTTTAGTACCTTTGAACAAAGGCACAGTTACTATGGCACAGTATATAGCTGGCCATGAGACATTTATACTCAGCTCCACCTCACGTAATCATAGCTTTATAGAAACAGCTGTATTCTCAATTAGCTACAATAACCATTTCTTAATTATAATTCTTACAGATACATTTGTGATTTTTTAAAGCTACAACAGCTATAAACTAACAACTATAGCATAGTGGATTTTCACTTGGCAAGCAAAAGGTCCCCAGTTCAATTCCAGCTGGAAAGTCAAATCCCTTTGGGGTTGGGTCAGGAAAGGTACCGGCTTTGCCAAATTAAAAATGTGACAAGGGAGCAGCATAAGCATATATTATATCCTATAATGATATATCACTACCACAACATCACAGAGATGGAAAATATCCTGCTCTGTCTGATCAACAGTCAAGGACCCAAAAAAACGATCCAGTCAAAGTGAAATGAATCAGAGAAAGCTGCAATTCATAAAGGTGAAAAACCTGGAACAAGTGCTTAATTGATTAAGTTGGTATCAAAATATTTGATAAAAAGTTCAGTTAATGAACTTTTACCAATTTATCAACGACTTGTTCGGAATCTACATATCAACTGAACTAGCCAGAACCATATCTGCACCAAGCAAATAAGAACCAAATGAGCTTAACAGAAATATTATTGATATTTACTGCTTACATAACCAAACATGTAATTCTGACTGAATATTTCACAGGAGAATTAAGCATAGCAAAACCACTGTCAAATAATAGGGAAAGGTCAAAAATGTTGTCGCGCATAGCTGTCAATATTGCCCGTCTCCTCAGTGCAAGCTGTGTCAGCTCATATATTCCACTAGCTAAGCGGGCTGGTAAATAAAGCATGAATAAGAAACACATGGCTCTGCAGCAGGCACAACAACGGAGCAGTCATCTGTCTTGTCAAGAGGACGGATGACTGGTGCTCCAGCCTCGGTTGCCAAGGAGACCACGGAGACAAGAGCGACAAATCGTGTCACAACTGCTGCGATCACACGCACACCCACGGACACTTCAGTCAATATTAATGGTAATTATTTTTTAATACAATTCAGCCAATGTATGGCTCAAAACTGAATACAGTGTCGCAAATAACATTAAAGCTGGACTGAAAGTGTGTTGTGTTGCTATAATATTCTCAAATCACTTACCACAGACAAGACATGCGAGGGACTTTCGGAAGAAGGGCAGTAGTTTGTACATCTCTGCGAAAGAATGAGGCTGCCGCGGGTCGCACTGCAGCACGGCCCGGCTGGCAGACACGTAGAGAGCGGTTGCATTAACCGGGTTCATGGCGATGTGCTCCGCAGCCTCAGGGAAACACGGTCCGAGGAAGGAAAAAAATCCAGCGGCTCGTCGCAACGTAAAGAGAGCCCAGCCTCAGGGTGATGGAGGGGATGCAAATTGGTCTAGCGACGCAACAATCAGTCACTCCAGTGTGTCAAAAGAGATGTTAATCATGAATCAGTAATATATACAATATGAAACAACGACCATGGTGAGGCGGTTATCGCTAAACGAGCACGTTAGCTAGCTTGGCAGGTGGCTACCTAAGGTTAGCATCACCGGTTCGCAGTCATTACATTTAACCAGCGAACTCTTTCATATCACAGTTACAGTTCCTGTTAATTCGGACCTATTAGAGTTATAATTATACTCATCTCCAACAAAGTCTAAGGGCAAACGCTGACTCGAATGAGCAAATCACCCATAATTAAAAGGTTAGCATTACGTAGCTAACATTAGCTTACTGCATCAGCCGGACGTTTTGCACAAGAGATCATCGATGATAGCCATAGAGCCAATCTACTCTACAACCCAGTATCCTCGTCGATGTTTAACTGAACAACGGACTGGCGAGATCATGAATTCGCCGGGTCAGAAATCCGTTAACAGATTCCAGGCGCGCACTTGATGTAAACAAAGCTAACCAGCTAGCGTTAGCATGGCTAGTCGATTTAGCTAGCGAAGAGTCAACCGTATCACTAACCCCCCTGGGTGGCTTTATACGTCGCACGTAGGAGCAAAATGCGACCGGCTAAGAAAAATTCTGCAATTTTGGTACGTTTTGCTGTAATGCTCGGAGAGAGGTGACCGAAACATAGCTAACTTGCCGTTTTGCAAATGCATCAATCATTCGATTTTCCACTTTTCCTCGCATAAACCCCTATCGACAGGCATGATCATCACGCGAGATTTCCACTAGTTACCGTGGTTACCGCAGCGCCTTTCCCGTGTCCTCCATTGCTTTATTTCCTCACTGTAACGATTATAATTGGTCATAAACTACGTAGCAACACGCTACTTAAAATGTATTTTTATTTTAATAAGAGGGTGGAAAAACTTCCTTAAGCACGGGGCTACTTTATGCATAACAATTTACATTTTTTCATATATGTATAGAATACATTTTAAATTCGCAAATAAACGCTGATTCATAGGCATTATTATTTTATTACAAATTACATGTAAGAGGGTTAAAATTGGAGTAACCGGGTTCTCAAGTTTACATGACTGAAAGGATATATTATGTTTGTCATTACTGTTTTCTCAGAAAAAAGATACAGTTACTGGACTGTATCTTTGGACACTGGAGAAATATTATTATATAAATAAAAGAAGGAAACTAAAAAATATATATCTTCTTTTGGTAATACGGGTAACAGGGTTGCATTGGTTAGAGTGTCACACTCAGTCGAGTCAGAAAAGATATAGCTAAAAATACAAAATATGTCAAAGATGACTGACCTTTGGTACACCCCTGGTGTTAGCACAAGACTCATGTCAAATTACTTCTTCTTTGTCGTGCCATCTCACTGTTTTGTCTCCTCGTTTTACGGGAATGCGCATATACACAAGGTGCAGAGCATATGAAGATGTTAAAAAAAACGTGTGTAACTGTTCGAAGAGACAAAATAGAAACAGAAAAGGTGGATTTACAACTTATTTTACCTGTTATACTTGACATGCAATTTGGTGATCATGAAGTTGGGGGTAAGAGAAAAATGCCACTTTGTATTTAAATCGTATTTTGGAATCGCTTAAAAACTACGTTTAGGGCAGGTATAATTTTTATGTATTTTGTGAATTCATTATTTTCAAATTCGTGGTTGAGACATAAATAACCCTGCAATTGTAGAGTGACAGCGCTAAAGCTGGCAGGAAGGTCTGCTTTACAATATAAACTCCCTGTAACATGACATCCAAGATGGGCAGAGCTCCTGCCCACCAGCTGCTGCGAGGACTTTCTGTTTTCTGATTGGCTGCACGAGCTCGCCCCCCTTTCGCTATTGGTCAAAATTTCATCATTTGACTCCCCGCCCGCTGTTGTGCTAGAACTTGCAGAAAATAATGACCAACTACATTATTTTCCCAGGTTGAGCAAAGTGTATAAAACACGACAAAGAAAAATCAGCTCACAGCTGCAGTAGATGAAGTAAAAAAAATATGCACACAAATGGGGATTTAAACTGAAATAACTAAACCAAAAATCCTCAAGTCATCTGTTTTTCAAGGCAGCAGAAGATCACAAAAATTTCCCTATTTGGGGCATGGACAGCATTTGATTTAGTATAGTGGACTATATAAATAATCTGAGAACAAATGTCAAAATATAAAATATATACTTTATTCTGGGGTTTCAGGGATACACCTGGAAATAAGGGGGGGGGGGGAAGCTTTTAAGAAGCCATTCTCTACTGCTCATCCAGGTCAGGATTGCTGGGCTGGAGTCTATCCCAGCTGTTATCAGGCAAAGGATTTATAGGGTTTTCATTGTATTTCCAGCACATGTATTCTCATGAGCTGAAATAAAAATTTGCAATCATGTCAGGTTTTTCTTTTTATTATTTTAAATAGGAAATATTAAGTTCAAATTAGACATAAAACAAGCATGTGAAGAGGGTAGTGCAAAGACACAAGTGATTTATCACATCTGTTACCTCTGGCTGTAGCAGAGATTACAGAGCAGAGTTTAAAAGTCTTACAGCCTCTGGGAAAAAGATCCTTCCTTAGTCTGGTGGTTCTGCTCTAGATCACAGCTTCCTGCCTGAAGAGGAGTCTTTCACGAAAGAGGAGGCAATTTCCCTGCATCTGCTGGTGACGTCGGTGGTGGTGGTGGTGGGGGCAGCTGCTACAAACAATAGTCTATGCAGCTTTCACCACCCTCAGCAGAGCCTTCCTCTCTACCACAGAGAAGCTCCCATGCCACACAATAATGCAGAAAAGCAGGACACTCTCTCCCACACATCTATAGCAAGAGGACATTTGTAAGTCTATTGCAGGGCTGATGCTTAGAGACAGGAAACCATTCACCTTCACATCCACAACTACACCAGCTGAGCTAGCATGCCTATTTTTGAACTGGAGTTGGAGGCTTGCAGAGTCACTCAGACATGCAAACTAAACACAAAGGCCCCTTTAAGAATCCTTTAAATTAAATGATGGAATTACTGAGTTATATTCCAGATGTTATTGTGACACATCTCAATGGTTTCAGTCTTCCCTGATTCTAGTGCATAGTTCAGAACTATATAGATTCTGCAGGCCTAGTGTTTTGATACTGACAGGTGGCTCCTATGAATTTAGTGAAATACATAAGAAAAGTGTAGCAGATCGTTTGTTAGTATGCACTATATCCCCTGACAGTTCTATTGAAGTAAACGGATATAACAAACAGCAAGTAAGATGTGAAAAAAAAAAACATGTTTAACTTAAAATTAAGCTCAGAAAGGGGTTTTCCTCCCTCTTTATTGATCGTCTCCCGAGCCACACTCCATTCCACTTGGTGGCGCCCCAACGCTGGCTTGTCAACAGACATTAAACACTAAAGAAGAAGAGCTTACACGAACAGCAATGATGGCGGCCATCAGTGTTGCTCGAAGCAGTTGCGGACTGATAAATGGTTTTAAGGTGTCCTTAAGGAGCGTGGCGCGAGTAAAATATGGCGCAGTATCGGTAACAGTACCGCAGACGAGTTTGCATCGGTCGTGCCGCTGGTACTCCGTCAGCCACCTGTCCGTTAAAGAGAGGATTGACCAGAAGCGAGAGGCGGCACTGCAGGGGGGAGGTCAGCAAAGGATAGAGGCACAACATAAAAGGGTAAAATCAGCTATCGCAGACCGAGGCTGTTATTTTTTATATATTAACGCACATTTCTTTTAATTGTATAATATCATATGCTTCAAATGCATTGACAGCCAGGAGGTTGGTGCTTTAAATGTCAGGCGCAGGGGCTTGTTTGCTTTGCTGGTCTCTCTCACACCTCTTAAACAAAAGTTTATTATTATCATTGTTATTATTTGTTTTAGCCCTGAAAGGGTTAATTTTATTTAAACAACAAACTTCACAATAACAAATGTTTTTAAGGTATATGTAATGATTTATTTTATGAGATTGGGATAAACCTCTGACAATTAAACAGCTCACAAACTGGTAAGGGATTAAATAATAAGACCTGACAAATTAGGGAAGTAAACTCCTATAAAGAGGCAGCTTTGCTTATGGTATGCAACACTTGAAACATTGATCTAAAGCAACCAGACATTTCAAAACCATAGCTTTTGCAGTGTGGCAGGCAAACTTTCTGATCGGTGACATATCTGATGCATGACTGTAATAAATTTACCATTGTGATGCGGTCCAGGGTAAGCTGACAGCCAGGGAGCGAGTGCAACTACTGCTTGACCCTGAATCCTTTGTAGAAACGGACATGTTTGTGGAACACCGTTGCGCCGACTTCGGCATGGAGCAGGACAGAAACAAGGTAACAGGTCGTGCACAAATACCTCTTGCAGCAGCGTGTTTCTTATTTTGCGACATTTTCAGTGAATTTTGATCATTTTTTTTCTCTCATAGTTCCCCGGTGACAGCGTTGTGACAGGCCGAGGTAGAATCAATGGCAGGCTCGTTTATGTTTTCAGTCAGGTACAGTGTTCATTCATTGTACAGAAAAACTATATGTGGCAACTCGATTTTAAATGACAATCTCTTTGTCTTGAACTCTGTGTTTTTTGCAGGACTTCACAGTTTTTGGCGGAAGTCTGTCTGGAGCTCACGCACAGAAGATATGTAAGGTATACAGATGTTTCACAGTAACATTAAACATCGTGTTTGTCAGCTGTGAGCAAGTTAGCATCTGTATGGGTGTGTTTGTCTTTGGTCATTTCCTCATTTGATGTGCCACTTTTAAATCTGTGGTCAGATCATGGACCAGGCCATGACGGTCGGGGCTCCGGTAATCGGGCTGAACGACTCTGGAGGAGCTCGGATCCAGGAAGGAGTGGAATCTCTAGCTGGATATGCAGATATATTCCTGGTATTTCATTTATATATTTTTGTGCAGACCTTTTCATGTAAATCAATTTAAAATGTCAAGTTTTGCACCTGACGATTTTTTGAGCTCAGAAGCTTGAAGCCCTAAATTCTTTTCGGTTTAACATTCCACATAAATGGCGGGAGTCATGTCCGTAAACTCATCATCAACAGCTGGTGTCGTATTTCTGACACTGTAAGTGTTCTTGTTTCCAGAGGAACGTGATGGCTTCAGGAGTCATCCCTCAGATCTCCCTCATCATGGGTCCGTGTGCAGGAGGAGCCGTGTACTCTCCTGCTCTCACAGATTTCACCTTCATGGTTAAGGTATGTAGCTGACACAGTAAAATCCACTGTAGGTAAAATACCGTATTAGTTTTATGCTATTTAAGCTGCAAGAAATATGAAAAAGTCCGGAAATATTTCCAAACTGCTATGCTATTTTGTGTTTAGAGAAGAGATGCATTCAATTCCAATAAGCACAGAAACATTTGTGTTTGTGTGTTTAGGACACGTCATACCTGTTCATCACAGGGCCTGATGTTGTCAAGTCTGTCACCAATGAAGATGTGACTCAGGAGGAGCTTGGTGGAGCCAAAACTCATACCACCGTGTCCGGTCAGACTCTTTTTATAAGTGTGGATGTTGAAGAGTTTTGTAAACTAAGCTGTAGCAATCACTGGTGCTTTACCAGCACTGGCTTTAGGTTTGTCATATTTACCAGTCTGAGCCGGTCTTGAGCCACCCTTCATTTCCACCTTTGGGGCGATCGTGGCTCAAGAGTTGGCAGTTCGCCTTGTAATCGGAAGGTTGCCAGTTCGAGCCCCGGCTTGGACAGTCTCGGTCGTTGTGTCCCGTTGCCTACTGGCGGTGGTCAGAGGGCCCGGTGGCGCCAGTGTCCGGCAGCCTCGCCTCTGTCAGTGCGCCCCAGGGTGGCTGTGGCTACAATGTAGCTTGCCATCACCAGTGTGTGAATGTGTGTGTGAATTTTTTAAACACTTTGGCATGCATAAAATTCTATGTTTTGCACTAAGAAGTGATTTCCAAAAACTGAATAAGTGTAGAACAAAACAAGAAATAACAGGCCTAAAAACTATTTGCTGCAAATAAACTGCATGTGAAAGTCATTAAGAAATTGGAAAAAAGAGACCTGACACAGTTTACAGCCATCTGTAAAACACAGTGGAGGATCTTTTGTGGTTTGGGGATGAATTTCAGCCAGTGGTTTTGGAGATTTTGTCTGGATTGATGGAATTATGAACACAGAAAAAGAATGTAGTTCATGATCCATCGTACATGACCATCTGGAAAGCATCTGATTGGCATGAACTTCATCTTTTAGTACAACAGTGATCCCTGCCAACACACAATGGAAGCTGGACCTCAACCTTATTGAAGGAGTATGGGAGAATGTTGACAGAGAATTGAACAAAAAGCTGCCAACATCCAAAGAAGAGCTTTGAATGTCCTTCAGGAATTCTGAAGACTACTTAAAGAAACCTTACTTAAGTTCATGCTGTGTTGGAAAAATAAAGGTAGTCATACCAAATATTGACTTTCAGGCTTGTTAGAATTGTGCAAACCTGCTTTTGCTTTATGCAGTTTTCATTCTTGTTTGCATGTTTCTTTTGCCTATTTTCCCAGCACAATATACAGAAATGAGGGGTGGTTTATGACTTTTTCACAGCATCTTTTTAAATCTGTTTAGCAAATGAAATCTAATAAAGGATTACTGCTCAAGTCAGGGTGTTTAACTCGTCTGAGAGAAACTCTCGTTAAAATGTCTTATTGCTTTTTCGTAGGTGTGGCTCACCGTGCTTTTGAGAATGATATTGAGGCTTTGCTCAACCTGCGAGAGTTTTTCAACTTCCTGCCACTTAGCAATCAGGATCCCGCACCTATCAGGGAGTCCCATGACTCTAGGTAGGCAGTAACCTTTGCCCTCATTGAACTAATCACAAATCCCCTCCTTTTTTGTCTGATGTCTCATTTGTTTTTCAGCGACCGTCTGGTACCATCATTGGACAACATCGTCCCTTTAGAGTCAACTAAAGCCTACGACATGTTGGACATAATTCATGCAGTATGCGCACAAACATACACCTTCTAATATGTACCACAACTTCTCATTTCCTTTTTGTGTGTGTTTAAAAAAGTTCTTTTTCTTAATCAGATAGTAGATGAGAGGGAATTCTTTGAGATCATGCCCAACTACGCCAAAAACATTGTGGTGGGATTTGCCCGTATGAATGGACGCACTGTGGGCATTGTGGGTAATCAGCCCAAAGTAGCTTCAGGTAAGAAAAATATGTGAATAACTAACAGTTAAAAAAAACAACCCCTCAATCCATTCAATCCATTTTGTACTTGTCTTGTTTGTCAGGCTGTTTGGACATCAACTCCTCAGTGAAGGGAGCCCGATTTGTTCGCTTCTGTGATGCTTTCAACATTCCCATCATCACGTTTGTGGATGTGCCAGGCTTCCTGCCAGGTATTCTTGGATAATATCCTCATGCATGTACACACAGGCTGCAGTTATGTGCAGGGCATGTTTGCCATGCTGAAGTTCATGATTTAATCGGTTTAGTTTAACGACCAGTGATTCTCCGGTGAGTTGGATGAGACTGAACAGACCACCTGTAGAAAATCTGATAGTCTGAACCCCTATCCAATAGAACTGCTGTGTTTTCTCTCAACAGGCACAGCTCAGGAGTACGGAGGCATCATCCGACACGGAGCCAAACTGCTTTTTGCTTTTGCAGAGGCCACAGTCCCAAAAATAACCATCATTACCAGAAAGGTGTGTGAGGTTTCTATTGCACATCTGGCTCAGCTGTTTGTTGTATAATGCCCTGCCTACAAAAAGCACCTCCAAGTTCACTGCCACGTTGAACTGCGAGCAGTGATGATATCTCAACACCCCAGTGTGGTTTTTTTTCAGAATAAAAGCCTCTGTAATAATTTCACTGGAATCTTTTGTCTGAATCGGCTACAAAAAAACAAACAGCTAACTTAGCATTTTATCAGTTTTGATTCTTTTACATCTGCATTCATTTACTGTCTGAAATGCTGCTTGTTGCTGAATTAATCCTTTTATTTTGGTCTTTGCATCCCAGGCGTACGGAGGAGCCTATGATGTGATGAGCTCAAAACACTTGAGAGGAGACGTGAACTACGCCTGGCCTACAGCTGAGGTCGCCGTCATGGGTGCCAAGGTACACATTACCTCTAGGTTTTTTGTTTGTCCCTTTCTCTCTGCTTCCTTTATTTTTACAGTTTTAATTTCTTTTTTTTCCTCAGGGTGCCGTTCAGATTATCTTCAGAGGAAAGGAGAACCAGGCAGAAGCAGAGGCTGAATACGTGGAGAAGTTTGCTAACCCTTTCCCAGCTGCTGTCAGAGGTAAATCTGCTTTTTTTTTTTTTTTTTGACTGTTCCTGCTCTTTATCTGCTGACAGTGTATGCGGCAACAAACCGAGTACATCTTTATCCGACTGCTTGTTTTAGGTTTTGTGGATGACATCATCGAGCCAGCGACAACTCGCAAAAAGATCTGCCAAGATCTAGAGGTGCTAGCCAGCAAGAAGCAGGTCAACCCCTGGAAGAAGCATGCCAACATTCCTCTGTGAAAATGTTCTCCACACTAACACTATGGAAAGGCATTTGTATTGACTTTTACATTTCAAATGAAATGGGGTTTTTTGCAGACAGCAGATCAGCAAACTCAGTTTTCACTGTTTTCTCTCACCCACCTTTAACAGTACCCCGTGACATTGGGAGCCTGTCTATTAGATTTAGTTTACCACTCCACTGAAAGCAGCAAGTGAAGATCACTCCTGATTTCTGTTAAGTATAATTGATTTTGTATTTGGAGCACTCGCAACAAAATCAGAATGTGTATCTTTACTACTTTATAGTTTATATTAAATCCCTAAAAACATCTGAAATAAATGACCCCGTAGTCACACACAGTGGTCATATTGGCAACTACTGTTGATATGGCTATCTAAGAGGCCAGAGATTTAGTGTTAGCAGCAAATGCAAACAAACTAAAGTTTGTTATCATGTGCAATGTTTTCAGAGTTGTTCATATACTATATATCAGCTTTTTACAGTTCGGTGCTTTCAAAAGGCACCTAAAGCATTTGATGTCCTCCATTTAGGTCAAGGAGACGTCCTTACCAACAGGAACTGTGCCTTTTCTCTGTGGCAGGCTCTGTACTGTCATCTGTAAAATAAATCATGGCCTCAATATTCTGCGTTTATTAATTTTCTTTGTTTTAAAAGTCATTATTGCCAGAGACGCTGGATCATATCTAGTGGAATCTCAGCCATTCTTTTAAGTGTGCATGATCAGATCCAGCTCCCAGAACAGACACACAATGGGATGGAGCTGGTGTGGTCTCATAGTTTAAGGGTAAATGGTCATAGCTGAACCGGTCACAGTTTTCAACGACTTAAAGGGCATAAAGTCTGAGGGCCAGCCTGTGTACAAAATTGATGAACTACACTTAATCGATAGATTTTGACTCTGTTTTTTATTTAATTTAGTTTCAGTTTCCATAGTCAACTTTGTGTCCATCAATACCTCATCAGGCAAACTATAACATTTTTACTAAACTATCAAATACTAAAATTAAGGATATGGGTTAGCTAAAATATTTTAAATCTAATTTTAGTTAACTATAATAACCCTGCTCTTGGTCACCGTTTTGGCTTTGGCCTCTATGTTCCAGTGAATCTTAGCGTTTCAGCTTGCCAAGGCATTATGGACAATTGTATCCTTCCAACTTTGTGTAGACAGTTTGAGGAGACACATTTTCTATTGTAGCATGACTGTAACCTACTAAACAAAGCAGGGTCCATAAAGGCATAGTTGGATGAGTCTGATGTGAAGGAACCGGACTGACCCATGCAGAGCTCTGACCTCAACCCCCATCAAACACCTTCAGCTTGAACTAGAATGGATACCGTCAGCCAGGACGTCTCGTCTAACATCCAGGTCCGACCTCGGAAATGCTCTTCTAGATGAATGGGCAAAAAAGTCATGCTCAGGTGGCTTAAGACTTGTCTATATATTGTACCTTCGGTTAATGTGTGCCTATTCAGAAGACCTATAAGATATAAAACTAGGACTCTGACAAAGGCCTAATATATTCAATAATCTAAAAAAAAGAAATCCATATTGTGGTTTTAAGGAAGGTTAACTGTTCATTCTTCACATTAAACACACAAGTGGAAAGCTGTATCTGACAACAACAGACAACAGCCCATGAACTGATTACAGATTTTATTTTATTAAAAAGAATTTAGGTTCACAGAAAAAAAACAAACAGGCTTTTACAGTATTTTGGGGCAAATGATGTCAACTGCACTGCAGAAAAGATCCAATTGTCTTTGATTTTTACAGGACTGCAAACCAGCCAGTGAATAAAGGTTGTAAATATTGAACTGGGGTGGTGGAGGCATGGCTGAACACATTCAAAACACATTCAAACAAATCTGTCATACATAAAGATCCATCACTGCACTGGATATGAACAACAAGTTTTCCATCTTCTGAGTCTGTTAACACTGATTGCAGGTAGCAAAATGTTTTCACCTGTAAAATGAACAAACTGAAGAGTGAACTGCGAAACGATTGCAATCAGACCTACAGCGCTTGGAAGCTGGTATCATCGGTATCCGTTGGATATGACTTACAGGTGTGGAGGGGAGGGGCTAGAATATACTTTTTAGTATGTAGGCCACAATTTGGCAACAAACAAGGTACATATTCAAGAAAGAGCTGTACAAACATCAGACAAAAACAAAAACACACTTGATTTAAAACTTTAGTACTAAAGCTACAGAATTGAAAATATGTCTTTTTTTTATTTTTTTTTAAACTTTTTTTTAATTAGTTCAAAAAGCCGCTATTTAGGGGTTGGAGGGTTGTGTGTGCAGAAGATTTAAGGTGTGGATTCTCTCCGTGGTCGGTCAGATGTGCATCTTCACTGTTAAATAACACAACTCTCTCTTTGCTTTGACACCACATGCACACACGACAGCTGCATCACGTCCTCCAGGTCAGTGTACAGCTGTCGACCTCTGTGTGCACATCCCACTGCCTAACCAAGGTCACCACCAACACTTCACACGCATATCACGCACCAGCACCAACACATACGACGACTCAGAGATGGCAGAGAGAGGAGACGGGGCAGTGGGTGGTATTAAGAGCAAAGATATAGAACATTTAGTTGGATTTAAGATGGGGTGAAGTGCAACACCAAAAGAGGGGGGTGGGGGCTGTACAGAGTGTTACGCTGCAGACTGGGAGCCGAAGCAAACAACTGTACATGTGTGTAACGGGGGGAGGCGAGGGGGGAGGGCTGTAAAAACTGCGAGTACTCGTCGGCCGGCTGCAGGATTATGCAGCCAGAGCGCCATCAGAGGTACTGCTAACCAACCAAGTGCTAAACCAACAGGCTGAAGAGGAAGAGGAGGAAGAATACAAGCAGGACAAGGCTCTTGAATAGTTCAGACTACACTGTGGATCCTCCGATCCGCCTGACTGAAGAGGGCGGATCCTCGCCTCCAGGTGAGATCCTGCAGTTTCAGAAGATCCTCTTGAAAAGCATCCTTCCATCATGTCTTACAGAGAAAGAAAAGTACTTCAAAAATGATTTTTTTCTTCATCTTACGAGTCTTGATTGGCAGGTGATCTGGGCTAAACCTTCCTCTTCCGTTTACTCCTGATTAGCATCCTGATCTTAGGATCTTTTCCAGCTTCCAGATCAGAACATGGGCATGCTGAATCCCTGGAACAATGAAGAGGAGAAAGTCAGAAAACCTTCCCCCCCAAAAAAAGAAGAAGAAGAAAAAGTACATGCTCTATATAAAAAGTGCGGCAGTGTTTGCTCTTTTGCTACTGAAGTTCACTTTATATGCAGGGACTTTAAAATCTCACCTTTATGTCTGTACTGTGAAAAAGCCAAAATGCTTTCAGAATAACTTAATAAATTTTTAATCAGTGAAACTGATTTTGATGCTTAAAATTGTTGGTTTGCTTAGCCATTTCTAAGATCAAAAGTTCTTAACTCATTCACTGCCAATGGCTGGCAGTGAATGAGTTAAACCCATTGACTCATTCACTGCAATTGACGGCTATAGACGTCAATGGCAGTGAATGAGTTAATTACCACGAGAATTAACTAAAATACACTTTGATGCCAGAATTTTGGTAAAAATATTCCAAATGTTAACAGGTGTTATTGTTCCAATGGCAACTTTTCAGAAACTATCCATCCAACAATTGTGCTGATTGATGAAATGCATCTATTTGACCTCTACTCTGGCTTTGGATTTGACCTTCTTAGAAGCAGGAACTGAAATCCGCTGGTGCAAATTTACAGTACTTATTTTTTAAAAATACTAATATAATACTTTTCATCATTAAATAGTCTGTTTGTGGAACATCTATAAGTGAAACCTGCATGTCTATATGTCATAATATTGTGTGTGCATTGTTAGATTGAAAGCCCTTGTTTGAATTAATAAAACTACATAAAAAACTTTAAGTGCTCAGCTGAAGTAAAAAAAAACAAAAAACAAGTAACCATAAACAGATGACATAGAAGACATAAGCTTATAATCTGTGATTAATGCACATGAGTGTAACGTATGAAAAAATATATCTTGGAAATGTTAGCCAATCAGATATATTTTAAACAGAAGCTGAAATTTGTTAGAGAAAGGACTTCTTTAAATCAGTTTTTCTGTGCTTTTGAATGCTTAATTTCTCCTCTTATCCTTCATTACCTATAGTCTAACTTATTACTATTTTATTTTTATTTTGTTCAGTTTTTTTGTTTTCGATATTTAGTTGGCAAATCATAACTTACCGACTCGTCTTCAATCATCGCTGCAGAGTCAAAGAAGTCCGGTCTTAATTCCGCTCTTTCACGTCTGTTCCTTGAAGGTGGCTGTAAAAGGTCAAATATTTTGTAAGAAGCCATGTCACAACCAGAACGAGAAAAAACCCCTGAAACCTCGTATCAACTAAATGAATAGTTTATAACTGACCAGGTCGATCACCATGGTGTCTTCAAACTCCTCGTTCATGTCCTCCAGCTGGCCCCGCGATGACATCATCACATCTTCAAAGATTGGCTCCGCGTCATCCTCCATCAGCCCACGCCTGAAAGGGAATGCCAGGTTACGATATTTTGGTTACTGTGACTTTTAGGGTGGATAAAGGTTTGGACAGAATTTGTGTTTCCACTTTTACCCAACATCTTCACAGTACGCTTACGGTTTATGAGCAAAATACACACTTACACAGTCTGCCGGACACCCTGATTGCTGCGAGACTTGATGTAGTTCATGCCTGTTCGGTCCTTCCTATTCACCTCTTCTATCTTCTGCTGGCCGAGCCATGACATCTGCATCTGAGGACTGAGGACAAACGAAGACACATGTCCATTAGTTCTGCTGCTGTCTTGTAACTTTAAAAACTGGGCTAACGTTTCTATGTGCATGTGCACCTACGGACAACATGTGCATGAACCCACTTGTGTACGTAATCGTTCTCTGATCCTGGCTCTGAGTCTGGGTCAGGCATGTGCTCTGCTGGTCTGTTCTCTCTGAGGACTGTTGAGGTGAGCTGAGGAGTCTGAAGTGCCCCGGGTGTCTGCAGGGTGTCATTGCGCATCATCCACGAGCCCTCTACGCTACTCTCCTCTGAATATGAAGCAAACAGAGTAATTTCAGTTTCAGCAGCAGGAGTAAGTGTCTCATCTCCTTTAAGAGATCAAGTTCAGTTAGGCCACCCCAATAAAATGGGCAATCCTTCATCTCTGCTCACCCTCAATACGTTTCTTGTGGAGTGGCGGTCGACCCTTCTTGCTGCGGACTGAGCCGGTCTTGCTGCTTGAGCCTGACGTAACAGACATGTGGTCCTCGTCTCCTCCTGTCAGCAGGCTGTTTCTGTAGGAAATCAGCGGCAGCCACACATCCTCCCGACGCTCTGACATCGACTCTGACATGAACTTCTCCAGGTACGAGTGGCTGTGGAGGCAGCAGCATTTTATAGCATTATCCTTTTTCTTTGTAAGTAATAAAACATGGGCTGGAGTGTTAGTGGTGTCACAGTGTGGTTTGCACCGTTGCCTAACAAGCGAAAGATTGCTGGTTTGATCCCGGAAGGAGACACAAATCCCATTGGGGTTTTGTCAGGAAGGCCATCCAACATAAAAACTGTGCCGAATCAA